CATTTGGAGAAAGCCACATTGAGGTTATCAGAGAATTTTGTTCTCTTTGATGTTCCTAAAGAATTTTTACTTCATCGTGTAAAAATGCTTCGGAAATCTTTCTACCATTTCTGAAGTATAGAAATGCTTTAAAAAAAACATGTAAATCTTAAATTTGAATATTTATTACAAAGAAATTCTGCTGTTTGCTTCAGACTTCAGTGATGCTGCAACATTTACATTCATGCGATGAAGATATGAAATATACAAATGAGCAAAATAGAGAAAGACAATTCAATAGAAATGGATGGAGAAGAGGCCTTTATTAGAAATCTTTCGGTTGATAAACTTTTAGATCTACCATAGGTACAGCGGGTGTACGACGTATGATTTCTTGTGGAGATATTATCATTTGAAATAAGTTCTCTCACTGCTGAAGTTACCAATGTTTGTTTCTTAGTCGTAGTCGTTCCATCCAAAAATTCTGTAAAAGAAGCTGAAGCAAACAAAAGCGATAAATTAGTTTCTAGTACCAATTAGCAAAATAATGAAAGTCCAGATGACTCACGTGTAATAGAATCTATTTTGACAACTTTTCGACCTGCAAATAAAATTCTTAGAATCATCTCAGAGATAGAAAAGAAAATGTAAAGTTAAGAGGATAAACAGATTAAAAAAAACCATTTGTGACTAAGTTTCTCTTAATGTTAGTATGCAATTGTTACAGCTATTATAGACACATTGATCAAATCAAGTGATAAAAATTTACTGTTGAAAGCCGGGACAAATCCATAAGCGCTGTTATTCATACGACCACTAATAAAGATAATATACAGACCATCGGCATAGAAGAAGTGAAAACCGGGGGATACAGTGCCGGATGAATAATATAGTGAACCATTTAAAAATGGTAGTGTAGCAAATGATAAGCTAATCTCACTATCAAAGAAAGCACTTGACATTGCTTTATAGTCTGCTATCACCTGAAAGAATATTTTCTTTTAGCACTATCATTGCAAAATGAATTAGGAAGTGAAAAAAAGATTGTTAGATTATCATGTCGCATGCTGCATACTTCATTTGTATACTTGCATCACGTAAAAAATCTAGGTAGCATCAAAATGCAGGGAATATTCATTTCTTGTAATATATCGATTAATTCTTGTAATTGTTACAATTACAATATATTGAAAAGATTTACAGTAACTTGATTGCTGTCGCTGGGTATAATAACCGGGATCATTCCGGAAATGAATTGTGAAATGGCTGGTACTTCATCTAGGTATCCACCTTCCTCATAGTTTAGTGTCCCAACATTGTATCCACCATAACGAATCACATTTAACACTGTTCTGAAAACTTTTTTTCAGATTTATCAAACTTAGCAATGATTATGTCACAATGTACTATTTTCATTTCTTTTTTTCTTCTTTCGTATTCAAGGAACTGATATTTTCCGGTAAAAAGTGGTAAAAATATATATCACAAGTGATTTGTTTCATTGGAATGCGTGAAAATTATTATTATCTAAACACTGCAAATTCATACGTAGTACTTATTGCGGCCGTATTTCCATATTCATCAAGTACTATAGAATTGGTTGCTTCAGGAAAAGTGGATATCAGGCGCTTTGTCTTCACAATTTTATTCGAACCATGAATTGAAATTTCCACTGATTTGCATTCTACGGATAGCGGTGTAAGCAAGTGATGTTTCCCAGTAAGCAGTGGCATTACGTAGTTATCTTTTAACTTATCGCAGCCTATAATACAGTGTCTAATCTTTCCCTTTAGAGAAAAACGATTTGTTTCTGGAATTGCAATTAACTACAAATTAGTTTTTTATTTATAGAACTACTGCGTACTAAGTTGGTCGGATCTTATAAAGAGAGTTGAGAAATACATTTCAAATAATAAATTCAACAAACCCGTTATTGGTACTGAGCTTGGCATAAAGCATCCGAAATCGAATACATCTGATCCTTTTGCTGTTGGCAGTCTACGTACAGCGGCAACAATAACGAATGTGAAGTTACTATGTGCCCATAAAGTTATACTTTCTTCTGATGAACTGAATGCCAACATTTCACCTACCTGTAATATTGTTTCCCATGATATGGAAAATTGAAGGTGAGGACAAAATATGTAAATTTACTGCATAATAGAATCCTTTTAACATTGCCGATTGCATATATAAATGAATTTGTTAAAAAGCAGTGAAAGAAAACAAACTTGTACAGTATGTTTGCAAGAACAAGAGGATGTGCTGCGAATCGAATTAATTGTAACATACTGATTATGTTTAGCTTTCACTGGCAGAAAATAAACAATCGTTGAACCTAATGCTGATGATGGTGGAAGTGTAAATGCATAATGATTTCCAGCCATTGATATTGGTAACACTAAAATTACTCGGAAAGTTTAATTTTAATACGAATTCACTCGAATAAAAGTTGCAAAATGAGAAATATTTCGCGAAATGTTTCGTTAAAATTTCAAATAGCAACTCTTAAAGAATTTTAGTTTGATTTTGAAACATATTATACGCTCATAGTTATTATAATTACTTAATGAAATAATGGAGAAAAAAAAACCAAGGAAGCTGTCGCGTGCACCACTGATATCTACATTATGTGCTATAAGAGTGATTAGAATGGTGGAGTGGACAACAATTCGGGCATCTACGTATGAATGCAAACCATCATTGATGTTATTCAGAATCACTGACTCATTAAATTTGAACTGAAAAACCGATTGGAATTGAAGAATAGTTGAAAAACACTTGAAGCTGTACAAATTTATTTGGATATTTTCGTATAGCCGAATGTCATTTTAACTAGTGCGATTCCACTTTAGATTTCCAAAAAATACTTTCATCTATAAAATTAAAGCTTTATTTTAGTCAAAGACTAATTCTTCGGAAAAATCGTCTTGGGTGGGAGAACGGAAAAACTCAGAAGAAATTGTGCCCGGAATCTTTTAGGAATTCCAAAATATACTATTTTTTTACCGGTGATAAAGGGTACACTGTCAGAATTAATTTTTTTTCAGAATTATGGGTACTACATATCGCACATCGATAAAAAAACTTTGAAGAGGACTACGCAGATCTGACGTTCACTTGCGTATGTTTGAATTGAGGGAATAACGAAAAAAGAAAGTACCAGGACACTGCTGAGTACTTTGACAACCAGACTTGCGGTATGTCGTGTTGTTGTAATATTATCACCATTAGTATCAAATTCAGGATATTCAACGATGACATTCGCACTTTGCTTTGTGTTCGGATTGATAATACTTAATGTAGCTTCCATCCCGATAGATCCACTGTTATTCGGTGGATATACGAAAACAAATTCGCGTCCGTATGTGTCCATATCATTGGCGCAAACCCTCACAAGGCTTAGAGCTGTAGTATGTTAGCAAAATCAAATATTAGACTTAAAATTGAGACAAGAATGGTAGCCCAAAAGTTTGATCTTTTATGATAATAAAAAGAATTTTCTTGTTTTTATAATCTAATGAACTTCTGAGGCAAATCATTCACTCTCATACGTTAAAGACATGGGATAATTCTCTAAAAATAATCTCTGATTTTCTAATCTACAAAAGAATGCTACTACTAATTTTGTAACAATGATTCCATGTTACTTGACAACTCATACTCTAATATATTCTTTTTTTTTTGGATCAAACATAATTCGTATTAAAGACATCAAAATTTGAAGTACCTGTAAATATGGTTTGCCAGATGAAATATGGCATATCTGTAGTCGACAAATGTTTGTAAATAACAATCATTTCCTATACATATTGTATTGTATACCTGATTCTTTGATAACAGCATTTTATCAGTTCATTCAAGTATCGAAATATTTTCTTATCAGAAACTGAACTCGAATAAATTTGGAAGATGCAAGGTGCTTATCAAATTACAAAAATATGTGGCAAACATTTCTCGAAAAACGAGAGTTGTAAGTTTTCGAGGTACAAAAAATTTTCAGATCAAAATTAGAGTAAGCAATGTTTTGAATTTATTTTTACAAGAAACAATCCGCTTAAATGCTAAATTTGTCCAGTTGAGTTTTTGGTATATAAAATATAAATTATTGTTAAATCTCAATCCTTTTCTGAAAAAATGATTTGAAAAAAAACTGGCTGAATAGTTTAGGTTACATTTCTAGTGGTTCTGGAGAGAATTTATTTTGAAAAAAAGGACGATTTGTACTGCATCCTTTATTGACGTTTTATAAAAAGAGGTTATTTTGAAAGAGTTTGTTAAAAAAAAAATAGTGCATAGCAGTATCGCAAAATGTTCTGCTTGGCAAAATTTTGAAAATGGGACAGTGAGCCTGCTAACATATATGAAGTGAACCATCCGACATTGCTGAATTTTCTAAGTCATGAGAAGTTGTGTTCATTCCTTTATTCTTCAGGTAGAAAATCAAAATATAACATTTTACTTACTTCTTTTAAACAAGTTATTATAACTTAGATTTTGAAACATATAGAATAAACAAGCATTCATTAAACAGTTCTAACTATTGAAAGGGAGGAATTAACTAAAAAGAAAAACATGAAAACGACACAAAAAAGAGGCGAAATCAATAGAAAACAATAGCTTAAAAGAATTAAAGTGAAATTTAATCTAACAATTATAAAGGAAATTAAGTAAGTACAAAGTAAAAGGTAGAAAACCAGGGAATTTATTGATGAAACTGCATTTATATTAAGGAATGTGCAATGGTTAAAGCTTATAAGATTAACTTAAAACTCTTCCTTTCTATCCAGATCTGTTTATCCTCTTGAAACAAAGTCATTTATTTGATTTTTTCTTTCAGATATTGTTACAACTTTTAATACCAACAAAGACATTTAAAACCACTTAAAATCACTCTAACAGTTGAAAATAAAAATTGCTTATAGTTACAAAATGCTTCCATATTTTTCTCTGCAATATGTGATCATTTCAAAAACGAAAGTTGAAAGCGTAACCTAAAGCAAAAAAAATTCAATTAAAATTCAGTTCGTTTTGCACCCATCACTTTTGACCGTTCCTTCAGCTAAGACATGTTTGCGATCCATGCGATCTTTTTCTAACGTTTTAATTATTATGATAGCAATTAGAATGCCAGAAACCGACAAAGATATGAAACTCCATGATAACCAAAAATTTGATGGCCTTTCACAGCCTTTCGGACATGTCAACAAAGTTGGTTGTTTTCCAGTTTGAAGCGTTTCCTGAAAATCAGTTTCAAAGTAATTTATTATGAGATAGTTAGCTTTACAATTTGAATATACTCAACTTGTAGTACAAAGCTAAATTCAAATTTAAGTACAGCTAAACATGATAAGATGGATGGTTTTAGGTATTTGCATCATTCGCTACATTATTATCGCTACTAAACATCATTCCATGATTCCCTTTACTGCATTTTCAATCAATTTGTAGCAAGTTCGAAATGTAGGTGAGATTACTATTAGGTAGGATTACTTATGGTAATTCTGATAATTTCATTTTCATAATTACTTAAAAACTAATTAGATTACGGAAAATTAACTTTTTTCTTCAGTTCTATAACTAGATAGGAAATAGCATAGCACCACTTTGTGCTAGCACCATTTTCTTTTACTACCAACCGAACCTTTACAGCTTGATTGTCCCTGCTAATTTAACACGTTTACTGTTCCTTCGATAAAGCTAACTGCGAGAAAATTATTGGACATTAATTAGTGCCCAAAAATTTTAGTTGAATAGTAACGTTTAAAATGATTTGACTTTTATTTATAAGTGTCATCACTAAGACTACTATCAATAGCTGAAAAAAAAATTGTTCTTACGAAAGAGGCAGCAACAAAAGCCATTACAGTTTTACTGATAATTCCTGTCGTCAGAATTCCACTATCATTATCAAAATGATAGTATTCCGTATACTTCGTCATTCTGTCGAGACTTCTCTAAAAATTAAAAAAAAAGGTGACGAAGTGAGTGGACATTGACAAGTAATTTTAGAGGAAAGACAAGTTAAGGATAATGAAATGGATCGGTCGGGGAGAAAAGCTTGCATGAAATAATAGGTTATGTAGAATTGAAAAATATGGTCATTTAATTCGCAACATTAAAACTTACTTTTGCTATTTCGTCAGGGGTTGGCAACTTTCCGTGATGTTCCTTTGTTGCAATTAAAATATTTGCCTTAAATTAAAACCATTAAACCTGGGTAATTAAGCAGAATAAAAAGGATGAGTAGAAAATAACCAGACCAATCTTAGTTACGTGCTATTGCATTTTGTCTAAATATTTTATGTTTTCTAAGATTCTTGGAGATCCTTTATAAATAAATAGTATTTTCATTTATTTCAAATTTTTATTGAAGAACATTTAAAGAAGATAGGCCAACTTATATGATCTATTAGCTAATATCCAATTTACTGGTTCAAACTATTTTATTATTATCATTTCGTTGCTGTCGAAGTATGTTACTGAGCGGTGCTTAGTAATATATTTTAAGCAGTGCTTAATAAAACAAATAAATGAACCTGTGTTGTAACATATCGTAAAAATACACCCATAAGTGTTTTACCAAAAAATTCTGCAGTTTTGTTCCAACACGACAGATTCTAAAAAAAAAAAACTATTTAAAACTGGTTGAAATTACCTGTGATACTTCTTTACATTATCATATTTCATTAGCCCACAAATAATCTGAAATCCATTTTCTTGCTTTTCAGCATTTTTGTTTGGTAGAGAAAGAAGCGGAAAAGAAAAAGATAATTCACTGTAACTACACTTCCACTAGTATTCATGTAGAAGCGCAAGAAAAAATTGTGGTTGAAAGGGTGAAAAGAGTTCGAAAAGGTTTGGTAAAATCCAACCTGATCGAATTTATTGGTGCAATGAGAACTGCATCCATCTAGGAATCGATCGTGCGTTTCCTCTTCACTAGCTGATACTAGTGGCAGTAGCAGTAGGAAAATGCTACTCATACGACCAACCTGTACTGTGCTCGGACTGCTACAGGTAGGTACATTGATACCACCCATGCAATCAACCTTTACTGGGCTCGGATTGCCATTGATACCAAAGTGAAAAACGATTAATTTCTACAGTTACGTACAATTGAAAATAGCTGAAAATAAAAAAAAAAAAAAAAAATAGCTGAAAAATGAAAATTAACCAATAACCAATAACAATTCGAATAAAAAGTTGAAGTGTTTCTTATTGTTTAATAGAACTGCAATGATATATTAACTAAATTTCACTAAGGATGTTACTCTAGTTTGTAATTTATTTAAACTTAAATTTTATAGCTTTGTCAGAAATTTGAGAATATTGGAAGAGGAATTACAAACAGAAATAATAAGACACCGAGAAGAAAGACTAAATTTTGAAAAATACCAAGTAAAATGCTACTGATTGATGATGATTTTTTAATGAAATACAAAAGTCTCACTCACAGGGCCTTAATACATCGATTAAAAAATTTTGCTTTTGTATTCACCACGCAAAAGAATACAATATAATAGGACCATTAAAATAGAAAAATTGATAGAGATAAGAGATAAGTTGAAATCAGTGCATCACTATGTAAAGTGAGCACAAAATTTGAAAAGTTAAAAAATTCAAAGAACAAATAGAATATAGTGCGCTTATCTCTCACTTTTAAACTTTGATAAATCAAAATCAAAAAAACTTAATTTTAACTTTAAAAAATTTGTTTCTTGAAGAATTTCAAGAGATTGGATCGATGGAATTACATCATTTATCATTCCCATCGAAATATTTTGTGACAAGTTTTTCACAGTAAATTACAAATTATAAAATAAATGAAGTGATTGAAATATTGTTGCATTCTTGCAATACCAAACAAATTTCAATGAAATAAAAGTATGCTGCCAATATTTGAGCAACATTTGTAGTCGCATTGATAAAAATGAGAAGATCTCTAAATTTTTTTCTACTTTCGGGTCAAAAACTTATCTTTTGTTTTGAAAAAAATGAGGATTGTGGATTATAACCTTTACAAATTCATTTGTTCCTTGATAGTATAATCTTAGAGATCAGTCTTTTTACTCTTTTAGACAGATGTGACAATAACAGATTCCTGATTTAAAATCATGAAACTAATCATTAACTGTGAACATTTAACTTTTCAGGAACTTTTATTTTAATAAAATTTAAAATTAAAATAAAACTTAAACTTCTAGGACTTAAAATTAGTCAGATTCATGGTTGAAAAGCTGCTTGGATAAACAAAAAGTAATTCAACATACGAACACACATACGGACACATCCTCCCCAATTCTATATCAGACTCCAATTTATACATTTTCAAAATTTTGTAAAAATTCTATCAAATAAATCCCATCAAACGGAAGTGGGAATGAAAGAGTTATAACAACGTGCAAACATAACAGATGCATTTTTCTGACAACCATTCCTCTCTCTTTGCTTCCATTTTTTAAAATTGCTTGTCTATACTGAACAATTTCGATACCAACGTGTGTTTGCCTTGTTGCAGCCGCGTACACTTCCTTCCTTCAGTGTGTGTGTGTGTGTGTGTGTGTGCATGTATGCATATACATATGTGTGTGTACATTGTACAGGTGACGTTGCATACAGGTACACCAGCATCAACTTTGTTTGTTAATAAAAATCAATGGCAAGCGCTATTAGTTGTTTTCATTATAATCTCTACTCAGCGATATTATTTATTTTATATTTTGCATAAATGAATCAGAAGCGATCATGCCAGTGAAATTTAAAATGAAAAAAATTTTGAAAATTCAGTATAATGTGCATCTGTTATTTGCAATGAAAAGTAAATTATTTTCGAATTTTGTGTATACATGGTACTTTTGATTGAGCTGTATAAGCCAAAGGACCATTGTGTTCATTTTAGTCCTAATTAGACTGAAACTGGACATGTCGCTGCACTTCTGTCCTATGCGTCCCAATATTCTCATGGTACAAACAATTCAAAAAACAATTTAAACTGCTTGTACATATTCATCAGTAAAACGCCAACCGTAATCATCTCACTTTACTAAATAATATCACTTTCTGATCTTCATGAGCAATTCTATCGTTTTAAAATAGTTACAATATAATTTTATCTCACTGTTCCCTGCAATAAATAAAGGTCAACTTTGATCATATTCCGAGCTTTTAGCTACACATCTTCGTTATGGCTAAATGCCATACTGAGATTTTATTCTTGGAACACAATTCATGAATAAATTGATTTATTCGTGGTGCGGATGAAATGATAATGAGAATGAGAATATGTCGCACATTTCTCATTTTGGGAGATGGCATTTTGGACAGAGCAAAGCGAAATCAGGTGTCGCATCTAGCCCTCACTATTTGGACGAAGTGTCTCACTGAACAACGGGTGCTAGAAGTGTATAATCAAATTGCTTAATAATATACACACATGCACACACACACATATATATGTAACCCACACATATGCGCACAGAGATACGCGCATGCTCGTCCGTAGAAGTACTCGAACAGGCAATCAATTGCTGGGTGGATTGGCATCAGTTTAAATGCTAAATTCAGAAATGCGGTGTTGTTTTTTAACTTCCGGTAGTAATTCTTCCAGCCTCAGTATTTCCCTCAGCATGTCAAGCTCGCAAATGATGCATATCATTTTTACTCTTTGTATGGAATGTTCAACTATCGCTGCTCGGAGTGAGACAAGAAAACTTTGTTTACGAAGTCTCATTAATTCTCCATTCTGTCCCACATTACTACATTCAGTTAAGTGGATTCAGATTCTAACTAATGTCGCAAAATTTCTTGTAATCACTGTTTGCTGTGCTTACACTGATATTTCCACTTTTTTCCAAGAGAAAATTCGTTTCCAGTATTTCTTTTGAGGAAAAATTATTGCAAGTACAGATCATTAATTGTTGTCATTGCTCTGTAATATAAAAATTTTTCGGAGTGTTAGAAGCAGAAAATGATTTAAGAAGGTTCGCTATTTGTGCTTGTAGTGCAAGTAGCTCTTACCTGACTCAAATTGGTACAACCCTTACATGGGGCTTCCTGAAAGGTCATGCTTCTCCTAACAATTTTCTGGTTTATAGATTTCAAGAGTAACTCTTTTGAAGTATAAAGCGTTGCAATGAAATATTTCAAATCCCAAACATCCATTCAGCCATTTCAAGCCATTGATTCTTTTTACCGGAATCAATGACATTTGCAACTTTCTTAGCGTCTTTTCGCTTTGCAATGAAATATCTGCTTGCTATGCACACATAACGACATCGACTACAAAGCCACAAGATGAATTAGCAAGACTCTCCTATTACATAGCACCGATCGCTTTACTTTTTTATTTAAATCTATAAAAATTCTTAGGAACATCAGTATAAAAGTAGTGTTGAAAATAAATTAATAAAGCGAAAATTTAAGTACTCACTTATTTTGCAATTGTTCCACTTTTTCTCGAATATATAAACGAATTTCTCGAATATGTAAGTAATTCTTGTAATTTCATACTTGGAATTAGCTTTTAATTTCTAGATTTTCTTAATAAAACAACTTGGTTTGGGTGCTTCTTCTTTGAGAGTGTGTTTGGGTTTTGAATATATATATACGTCATCAACCTAGACTTTCTTCCAATAATATACTCAAGCATATCTGATTGCGTCTGACTGCTCTTTGTGGATTTTTTCCAAAAAAGAAAGCCAAGCACTGTCTATAAAATGTGTTATGAAAGAAAAAAATGCAGAATATTGGTGTGATGTCATGCAAACTTGAAAGTCCACTGAGAATCGATGAAGCTACTACTGCTTCCAGGCTCCTAACCATATCTTTTTTCTGTCTGCTTTCATCCTTTTTTATGCATCCCCTAAGTTTCTTTAAATTTCCATTCGGATTTCCAATCGCTTGAAAAATTCTTGAAGCACTCTTTAAATTTGTACCTTTGGAATTAGTTTTTCAAAATTTTATTTGATCTCCTCAATTTTAATGCTATTTTTTTTTAAAAAAAAAAGATGTGGTACTATTGTGCTAAGCATGAATGAATACTTCTCTGTTTTTGAACCACTAGGGAACAAGTTTTTTGAAGCCAATGCAGAGAAGTACATCAATTCATGCTTTTCATAAATCTTCCAAAACACTAAATTTTAGTTAGCTTTCTGTTTTATGCATTCCATTTTCATCTGTTTTTAGCAACGTTTCAAGCGCATTCTGTATCCTTGTCAAAATTCATTTTTTACTTTTGTTTAATGAGTACTGAATTTATATACTTTCGTACACATCATACATTTCATAATATGAATCATTTTTTAGTCTCAAACTAATCTGAAATTCTAATTTAACAAAAATTCGAATGAATCACATCTTTTACCACTATATGACGTTAAAATTGTTTTGAAGGATGTTGTTTTCAATGGATCTGATAAATTAGAAGAAAGGAAGATAACAACATTTTCAAAGCAAATACTCTCTTTCCAATTAACTGGCTTTTATTCGTATATAGTTAGAGAAGAATTAATGGTTCTACTCTGTGACTTTTCTTTATTCCATTCTTACCAATTTCTAAGGAAAATCTGAGGAATTGACTGAGGAATGGAAGAATTTTAATTTTAATTGAATATTCCGAATGGTTCTTAAATTATTACTTTATGTTAGTCGCTTCAAGCTATATCTTACTCATTTCCAATAAGAATATAAATATTAATTAGTAGCTTATCTTCTTAAATTCGGGTAATTAATTGTTCATATACCCTGTAATTACAACTAGAATGTTGTAAAGATGGTCCATATTATCAATGATGGAGATATATCAAAGAATTATTAAACAAATTGTCAAGTCGTGTCTTTTTAGTGCTTCGAATTTTACGGAGTAAATGTGAATTCATAAAAATTCCTTTCAGGCAAATCGACAAGTGTCCTTATTTGTTACTGCATTGTAGCTGCCCATCAGAATAAGTGCCCACTGTCCTATGCTTTCTTAAATCGATTCGATTTATTAAAATTTTTCCTTTCCTCACAATTTTAATATCACTGAACATGGACCTTTAATCTCACTATTAGTTATGCATCATGCGGTAAATGAATCTTCATTCTTCGTAACTATCATTGAACTTTTTTCACTTTGTATTAAACATTCTTACAATTATTGCTACTATTATATCACCGCTGCTATTAGAACTGCCATTGCGACAAAACCGCTACTACTTTTGCTTCTATCACTACACCACTGCTTAACAAAATACACTGCCCTTTCAAATTTCTGCAGTTAATACCTACTGTTTTCCTTTTTAAATTATTCCCAATGGCTAGCCGATTTGATCAGAATTATTAGCTCGGTGATTTATTAATCAAAATAAATAACTACTCTTCTTGCTGAAGCAATTGAAGCAATTTTCCTCGATTAAGAAATTCTAATTAAGCTAAATTTATTTAATTTAACAATCGTATCAAATACTTCTCAACACTCAGAATTTCTTAAAAATTAAAAAATTGTGAAAGAAACAAAAACTTGGAAGTGAAATCTTGAAAAGAAAAGTAAAAAATTAAAGTAGAAAAGAATGGAAATGTTTAGTAAAGACATGACAAGCAGCTGCTAATGCGCTATGCAAGTTGGGATAGGATGCTATACAATATGCTTGTTCGGTGTCATTCAACATCTACTGAACCTTTCCAATGGTGCTATCCGGCAAACACATCCAATTGAGCTTACCATCGATTCCGGTTCCATAAGAGGAGAATATTTGGTAAGCAAAATGCACAAAGCTTCTAAAAGGCTTACATCCTACACGCTAACCATGGAGCATATTAGTCTTAAAAATCTTCCTAAGTCTTTCTTTAAGTTATAAACGACAAAACGTTTTCTTTCCAAATCTTCAATTCTCATTCCTTTATAAGATGAAAATCAACCTCAAATCTATGCATAATATTGAAGCTATAATGAGCAATAATTACATATACTGTTAATACTATTTAACTGAATTAAAAATAGTAAAATTAATCATCTAAAGATGTCATATTACATAGAAATGCTATATTTTTATAGACAATTGGTGCAAACGATTTTGCAGTTTTTAAAGGAATTCCTTACGCTGCACCACCCGTTGGTTCGCTTCGCTTTCAGGTAATTCTGCAACAGTGTTGTATAACATCAAGTAAATAAATTAGCCATATTTCATTCAGTTCGGCACTGTAAATTAAATTTAAAAAAAAAATTTTTTTTTGTGTAAATTGTTCAAGATTCTAATAATCTATATATTTTTCATTCTCTTCTCCAAAAACATCATTGGACGAAAAATCCTGAACAACCGTTCATTTAAACCGCTCGCTGTCCATTAATTAAATTTCATTTTATTTTTCTTAAGGCTATTAGAAATTCTATAACAAAATGCCTACAACTTTAATTTCAAGTTTTTCCAAATATTGAGAAAAGGGAGTTTGTCCAGAATAAATTTATGGTTTCATTATTAAAAGAGTGTTATAGCATGTTGTTTATGCATGCAAACAACTATTAATGTTTTCTATTTTTAGATGCCAGAGCCACCAGCGAAATGGAGGGGTGTAATGAATGCAACTCAATATTCGGCCATGTGCGCGCAGAAACCTCGAACTCGTCAGACAGATCCAGTTAATATTTACCGAATTCATATCTCCGAAGACTGCCTTTACCTCAATGTTTTCGCTCCCCCTCAGGTATAGCTTCCTTTCGGGTGAAACAGCAACCAATCAATGAACTATATCAATTATAATTGCAGTTGCAATTAATGGCTATTGCCATTACACAATGAAAAGCTATGATCGTGCGTCTGGGACATAATCATCGCTCACTATGTTTTTCAAAATATTTGTTTAATGCATTTTAGGCCTGGTATACTTACTCAAATTGGCTTAATCGATATACGATTCATTTCTTTGAATCGAAGGCACTAGGACTGATAAAATTTATCTGACTAAATAAATGAGATGCTTTATAAAGGGAGTGTTGTAATGGGATAATGAAGCATAGTGGCGTTTTTGACCATTTTGCAGTGGAATGATAAGAACTGAGCTTAATTTGGCATCTAGATTAAGGAAAGAAGAGATACATTCTAGATGTGATGTTAGTAAAAGTGAAAACGTGATGATCAATAGGATTGATAATATAAAATGATTTCTCGATTGCAGAAAATATATTCATAGCGAAACACAGAAAAAGAAAAGAATTTGAAATTCTTTTGAGTAGGCTGCCAATAACACGCATGAACTTAAACGAAGATAGGAACTTTTAGGAGAAAAACCGAGTTAAGTTAACAATACGGATCTTTATGTCGCTATTTTAAAAAGAGTTGTGAATTCACTTTACTTTTCTATAAAAGCTTGAATGATGGTTTTTAAAGGTTTACAACGCTAAAAAACTAAATTTCCTCCTTTTTTTTTTTCTTTTAATTTGAACATATAAAAATATTTTTCTGAAGTTCAAGTATTTTGAAAATAAAATGATGCCAGTGCTTTTAGTTTACCAATGATACATATCCAGTGATCGTTTACATACATGGCGGAGAGTTTCAGTCGGGTTCCAGTTCCGATTTATCGCAGGAGGCAATTCTTACTAATTTTGTTTCACGCAAAATTGTCTTCATATCAATAAATTATCGACTTGGTCCACTCGGTGAGTTGTTCATATATTTGCGCACCACTTATGCTCCATGTTTATAATAATATAATGAATCAATTTATTTTCGTGTTTTTTTCTATTGTTTTGGCTTACATTTTACCGAAAGCAGAAAATACTTCAAATAAATTATTTTATTTACTTTATTCATTGTTTCATTTCGTCGGATTATACTTTATATAAAATGTCATTGTAGGTTTTATATCGACGGGCGATGGAGTGATACCAGGAAACAATGGTCTTTGGGATCAAATTCTAGCTCTCAAATGGGTCAAGGTTAGGCTCCATTTTAAAATAGCTGTTATACTTTGTTTTATAAACTATCAGGTAATATCTTAATATCTCTGATATTAGTGTTAGGTAATATCTCTTTGATTATCTGAGTAATATCTCTGTAACAACAAGAAAATAAATTTAAAAAAAAGGTAAAAAGAATTTTTAAAAAGTATAAAAAAATATATGTAAAGTATATTGGTTATTTTTTGATATTTATACGGTCCGTTATATGATTTTATTATGAATTTTTTTACTTCAACTATTAAACTTCTTGTAGTAAAAACGTAATGAAATGTTCGCTTTATTTCTCGTAATGGAATGTGCAATGGAAAAAAAATGAGAAATAAAAAAATATTAAGACATATGGGTTTATTGGAATGTTTGTTTGAGTAATTTGTTAAGAAAAGAAATCTTCAGTTGAATGCTCAGGCGTTTGGTGGCGATCCTGAAAATGTACTGTTGATGGGACATGGTAGTGGTGCTGCCAGTGTTTCCCTTCTCGCTTTATCACCCCGTGCGGAAGGTGAATTTTAGATCCATGTTCCAGTTAGAGAAAATACGGAATTCTGTTTATGGCCTTTAAATTTGTCATGGCTTCAGCTTCTAGTTTTCATATTTTTGAGTGGTCGGTGGTTTTCAGTAAGAAGTTAAATACTACAACATATATAATTTTCTTTTCAAAAATAGACGCAAATGTTGTTTAGGTTTGTTTCAAAAAATCGCCCTGCTTAGTGGTACAGCTCTATCACCTGGTGCCGTCCGTGATACTGCCGTCAATGCTACATGGATCCTAGATCGCAAATTGCACTGTCGTTCCTTTAATTCCAGTGAACTTTTAGAATGTTTCAAAAAACAGTTGAAGGATGAAATCCTCGATACCTCTGCAAGTGCTTATACCTGTTTGTAATTAATGGATTTGATATTAAATTGTTGATTTTCTTGTTTAATTGTATCTGATTTAGGCTATTTTCATCAAATTTCATGGATTTCAATATTTATTGAAATTACAGAGGATAAAGTATGATGATTATGAAGAGTTTGTACCAATAGTAGATGGTATTGGTGGCATACTGCCGGAATCGCCGGAAATGCTTGCAACTTATAGACGAAAAATGCCGATGATGATTGGAACAACCAGAGATGAAAGTTCGCTGAAAATCTGTTTGTTTTTTGCAATTCCGTAATTTGTTCTAATAAATTTTTACAAACTTTTTTTTAATTAACTCTTGAGAGAACTGTCGAAAGTTCATTAAAAAAGTTGACAAATATCAATTAACTTTGGTTTATAAATATCAGTTAATTTAGCAGTTACTTTCTCTTTTTTCTTCTTTAAAAAAAAAAAAAAAAAAAAAATTGACTACTTAAATAAAGCATTTTGTTGTGCTTTGCTTTGAGAAATACAATTGTTGATAAAAATTACCTATTATTTCAGTGATTTTGAATGAAAAAAATACAAATATGAATGCGCTGACACGAGCTGCTGCGGAAGAAATGGCTGAAAATTTAACGCTTTCATATTCCGGTTTTATAAATCATCGTTTGATAATGGAAGGTTGTAAACATGAGTATATTTGGTCGAAAATTAATCCCGCTGTGGATTCATCAGTATTGAACGATGCCGTGTTGAATGTTTGTCGAATTCATCAATTCCAACTTTTCATCCAACCTCGGATAGCATTAAAAGATGAAAGTGGACTGGTGTCGGGTGGGTAATGTAAGGGTGTCGGAGGCTGATATCGGAAAATAAATAGCCAAAATTACGGCAATTTAACATCAGTTCGACTCACTGATTACTTTTAGGAAGCTGATGTGCATGCATGCTACTTTTAGTTCTTTCACTACCTTATTTAAATTCACATATTTAAATTCTGAGCTCAAATTACATTTCCCGTAGCCATAAAGTTTCTACTGAAACAATTGCGCGTCATAAACCAGATATTGTTGGATGACAACAGTTAACTGTTCAATTTTTTTTTGCAGATGTATTCGCATTTTTGGTACGATGCGCCGGCTTCACGACTTGCGACACATTATGCCAAAGGCGGTGCACCTGTTTATTTATATTCTTTCGATCACATAAGTGAAAATTTTGATCACGACAGTACGTTCCACTTTTACTCTTATCACCAAAATGAGACATTATTTTTCATAAAACTACTTACCCGATAAATATCCCAATCGCTGTTTAGTTAAAGTTATTCATCTATTCTACGTAATATTGCATCATTATACACAAATAGAAGACAAATACTGCTGGAAGAGCTTGCACTGAAAATAGCATTCCTGAAAAAGCCAAAACATCTGATACCTTAAGTTGTTGGATGTTTTGACCTTGCCGGAAAACATTTTTTCTGTTTTTCTTATCGATTGTTATCCTATTTCAGTAATACTCGAAACTGGAGATAAAACTACAAAGCTATTGGATGATATTTAAATTTTTTCTCGTTTTTTTTTTTTTTTTTTTTTTTGTATAGGAGCATTTCATGGCTGTGATGAAATATTCCTGTTTGATGTTGAACCAAGGTTTCTGGTCAAAAGGCGTGATCGAAATTGGCAGTTGGATCGGAGGCTAACAGAAATTTTTGCTGAACTTATCATCAATTTCGCCAGGACCGGGTGAGATACCATTAGCTTTTCAATCCTCAGAGATCATCTGAAAGTCTATGGAAATCATTTTTTTATGGTTCATCTAAAATTAAAAATATTGTATTTATAATAATAAAAGTAATTATTTCCTAATTATGCTTCTTAATCAGATTTATCTTAGCAAAAATTATCTCTTTTTACTGTTTAAGTAAATGCTGCTTAAAGATAATAACTATATTTGCCTCCTTTCGAAAGAATATGGCATCACTTCATCAAATTGTAACTTCTTGTAGAGAGCTAACAGTTTTCAAATTGTCCGAAAATTCATTAATTTCTTTCTTATGCACTTTCTTGAACTTTTTTGGTGAATGTCATTTATTTCACCTTTTTCTTCTGTATAAGAAACAAAAAGAAAATGACGAGTTTTTTTTTTGTTTACACATTGTTGCATATCCCTTTTTAAGATATCTTACAAATTACAATACTTTCTAGAATCCAACTATCATATAAAGACTAAAATTGTGGTTTTTATGCATTTATCTTTGAAAGATTTTTTATATAAAAATCGAAAAGAGGAAATGAGCAGAATGTCGCTTCAAGATTTTCCTTAGAAATTTGATAACGTTTTCTTGTTTTTATATGAAAAGAAAAATATACTTCAGAATTCCGACACCGGAATCGTCCGGATTTTCCTTCAACTGGACTGCAATGAAGGTGGATGAACTAAATTATTTGTCGATAACTGACAGTCCTGAAATGAATGTTGGTTTCCGATGGCAAGGTCATGTTTTTTGGAACTGGTATGCTCGTCATTTAGATTCTGTCGATGTTGGAAATTTACATCGTATCGCCCAACTGGACAAACAGCTCGGCGACTATCAAGTTTGTTTCGAAATTATTTTAGGACATCTTAGTTGATCAATCAGCAAATATTTTATTGTAGTTTAGGTGCTATGAATTATTTTAATTCCATAACTTTTTTGACATTCATGATGGGTTAAGTAAAAAATGCCTTCGAAAAAGATGGAACTACTTGAAACTGACCAGTAGATTGAAAAGAATTGTAATGATGGACAAAAAGAAACTCGAAATAAATGAATATTTTCAAATTTGGTTTCTATATTGAATTAAATTTTCAGTTAGCAACTTGGATGCTTTTATTCTGTGCCCTGTTTTTCTTCGCAATTTTAGTTGGTTTGGCATGCTATTGCACTCGCAAGGAAGCTGATGATGAGGATTTGTAGTTTTTACATTGTGTACTTTGTTTTCGGATCGGACTACCACTGTCGTAGACTTATTGCTCCTTCGCTGTTTCTCTTCATGCTTTTTTCATGTTCTTTTACTAATGCTTTAAGTTTAACTTTTCTGAAAGATTCAAACATTTTACTTGAGAATTTTCTGAATATCGCATTACAATCTTAACTCATACTTCTTTCAGCAATTGAATATTGACTTTGAAAATAATTGAGTGGAAAATTTTGTGGGATTTTCTTTCAGTTTTTTACCAAAATTCACAACATTTTAAAATAACTATTTGGAATTGATGTCTCAAAAATGCTTTAATTACAGCTGCATTTTTAGACAGTAGAATTGTACATATCATGCAAAGCAAACTGATAGAACTTAGCTTGATGTCATGTTGATTAATCTGAAATTAAAAATGTCAGAAATGAGCGCCAATAGCACACCACGAATTATATAAATTGTAAAATGATTGGTTTCTGTTGTTCTTAGAGATTTAGTTCGTTAATTATCACTGTTGACTTTCATCCAATTATGCTGGTATATAGGGTAATTGTTTTAAAGAGGTAAAAGTAGTAGAATTTCGTCTTCTAAATTTCAAAGATCAAGCAAGAGTATAAAACATTTTTATTTTTATGTTCTAGTTTTCCTTCTACTAGTAATTTATTAGTATCAATAATACTGCTGATATCTGCTTAAGGTAACTAATACACTTCAAAAATTCGACCTCAATCTTTTCCATCGAATGAAATTTAAGTAGATAAAAATGTTTATATTTTGTTGTAACATTTTCATTTAGCTTTCAGTTTCTATTTATTTTGTTTTTAGTTAACGGCTTCTATTTATTTAAAAATATTTTGCAGATTTTTTCCGGAAGCTTCTGGAACTGTTTATTACTGTTCATCTTGAATTTCGACAAATTTGCTGCAATATCTATCGTCTCTTCTGTTCATTATACTTGTCTGTTGTACTTTTTCTTCGCATCAAATTTCCACAATATAATTTCCAATTTTCAGCTTTTCGGTTTTTGAACTAAGACGATAAATGTTTCATTATTTTGATCAAGCAGGTAAATTTTACCTTCTACCGCAGGTTTTCTTTTGGACCAAGTTTTTTAAAGCTATTTAAAAAACTGGGTTGTCCCACTTAAAAATATTTGTACATTAATTTTTTACTTAAAGCTTCTAATTTTTTGCAATTCCAAATTTTGCTTCTAACCAATTGAATTACCTTTATGTTAATTTTTGATATTTTCTCCCATGCATCGCTCCAATCAAAATCATACCGCCATTTATGCATAGATAATATAATTTGATTATTCTTTAATTCGTAAATTGCTTAAAAAAATCTTTTGAACTATTACTAGAACAGAGAAATGATCATTGAAATCATTAGGGCGAGATCAAGGAAAGGAGGATTTTGAAACTTTGAAATGATACAGTGCTTAAATGTTGATCACATTCCCAAACATATGCATTGGTGTAATCAAACTATTTCATTAACTTTTTTCAAATATTTTTTAACTATCAAGTAGCACTCTCGATATTGTCCTTTAAGTTCATTATAAAACTATTCTGAGATTTTCGTTATAAACAGTATCAAATAGAATTGGCGTGAACTGATAGAACGTGTTCTATATGAAAGAAAACGTATATGATCAGGTCAGATAAATTATAAATAATTGAACTAAAATATTTAATTCTTAGTTATCTATTTGCAACTTGTAAATTGTAAATGCGTAATGAAGTTAAAAAACCTCGTTTTATTGAAAGAAATTGTGAAAAGTACTTTGTAATCGATATTGAAAAGGGATTTTAACAATTATTAAATGTCACGGAAATACGTCGAGAACATATAATGATAGAGTATGGCTATTTCAAAATTTCAGTATCTTAGCTAAACCTTTGGAATAGACATCGGAAAGCAGTCATATTAACATCAATTAAATAGTACGATAGGGAAGCTGTAGATATAAATGTGAGATCCCAATTTTAGGATTCATGACTCAAAAAAGCCAACAAAATCATTTAAGTCAAAGCAATAATCGAATCCATACAGTTATAACAGAAGTGACTTTAATCGCCATCAGTAATTATGATTTCATTGCTTCGAAATTTTAAATGTATCGAAAATATTAACATTCATATTAATTCAATTGTTTTCTGAATTGCATTATCTTTTACTAATATTTATTGAAAATTTTTTCACATATTTTACATATTGCTAAGTGAAAGAAGCAAATTGCTTTCATTCTTATTATATTTACGATCGTCGCATATGTTGATGACAATTGAATTATATTGTTACTCCTTATTTACAAGCTTAATGAATGTTAAAGATTCACATCACTGTGACCAATAATGGACCACACAACTATATACCCGCAATTTAGAACTATTACAAATTAATCTTTGACATTATTAAAAAACATGTCATTTAAATGATCTCAGTAGTTCTCCATCACCAATGAAACCTTGGAATATAAAAGAACTTTTTCACGAATATCAGTGTAAAAAATTATTTGAGTGGCAATTGAAAAAGTCCATTTATAGCTCAAAGTTCATTATTTTTTCAAAATTTATTGTCTAACTTATTTAAATGAGTTGTGAGACACAGTTTTCTAGGAAAAAAGTTCCTTTCTAACTATTCATTTCATCATGAAAGAAGCTTATTGGTAAGTAAGTTATTGACAAGTGCACAGCATTGTTGCGAAAAGGCTTTCGCTTCCGTCAATTAATGATTGAATCCACAATTACAATGCATTACATGAAAGTTTTGAAGGACTCATTCCTGATAATTTCTTATTACAAAATTTGAAATATGCTAGTGTTTTGTGATGGAAGCCTTTTTATTAAAGGAAGTTAGAATTGTTTATTATTAGTTTCAAGGAGGAAATTTGATGGCCATTTTTGTAGTTGAGAATGATTAAATCATTAAAAAAGTATATACAAAATTGATCTTTAGCATGTCTGAAATATTGTTTATGTATTTGTTTGTCACATTTGTATGCATTATATATTATGTGATGCTTAATACAATCAGTAGAAAACGATGGACGACTTTTAGGGTTTCAATAGCTTATCATTCGAGTTAATCTCAATGAGACATCTAAAGTCAATAAATCTTCATTCATTTCTGGCCAATATTAACAATCATTCGGTATTTCACTTTTTCTACTATTATTTGCTATCCATTCAATTATCAAAAAGAAAGAAACGATTTTGTCAAATCTTTCATTTCCTTCTCTTTCTGCACTAAATTTTTATTGCAAGATGAAAGTTTTTGTGCAATAAAATTGAAAATGCAATCAAGAAGAGAGTAAAGAAAAGAAATGAAGAATTTGAGTCACAAAACATATGCATTAATTAGGTTTCACCATCAGGATAGGAAACGGTAAACGTGACGGTAAAGACGTTCTCGATAAACGATATAATAGCGTCTTTACCGCTGGATCACAACAATGAAATCACAGATGACAGAAAAATGTTTATAAATCGGTAATCAGCCGGAAATGAATATTAATGTAATTGCAGCAGAAATAATAATAATAGAAAAATACAAAAAGAAATATGGTTTTGCCAAAAGGATTATTTTATCGTATTTCATTATTATTAACCTAGAAATATTGGTCACTTATTAGTTTGTATGCAATGGTCTGAAAAAGCTTTTAAATTGTCAAGCTTATCTTGCTGATCAAATCACAAATGAGGGGAAAATGCTCTATCAAAAATTTGTCCTATCTTTCAGAGTTTCGCCACGCAATCGTTTTCTAAATTTCTAAGTCGAAAAAAAATTTTTTTCTTTTTGAGATAAAGGAAATATTACTTGAAATAATTTATCTTCAATACCTTGCTAAGAATAAAAGATAAAATCCTGAATTTAATTGATAGTTTTGTTTTTGTAGAACTGAAGAGGTCACAAACTGTAAGTGAGCAACATAGTAAATGATTAATAGAGTTTCTCCACCGAATTTACTCTAATTATTTCTTTTTGATAATAAGAAGAAACTGAACCAAAAAGGTAACATCTTTAGGATGTTCCAAAAATTATCTTAAAATTGAAATAATTGCTTCATAAACGCAATTTACGATTTTCCAATTTTCGAGTAATTATGGGTGCAAAGGAAAGTGAAAGGAAAAAATTTGTATCAACATATTCAATATAATTGCCTAATCAAAATCGTTCAAGCAATTAATTAAATAATACCAAATTTATGCAATGATAATATTGATATCTTACTATTTCTGTTTATTGAAGCTAGGCGCTTTCTATGTTTGTGCTTTTCTCACTTCGACTGTTGAGAATGTCGCTTTAATTTTTGAAGAGAATTTTTTCCAAAAAATAAAGTAATCGGTAAGTTTATTCTTAAGCACAAAACATAGAATAACTTTTGCGCCTCTGTCTACAGTGATACTTTTCTCCTTGAAAATGCACTTTTTTAAAATTGTTGTCCTGTTTGTTAGTATCAAAAACTAAACGGCTAAAATTACGGTAATTTAATACATTATTTCACTTTATTCAACTACTCTATAAATAAATGTATTCTTAAGTATAAAGACGACGTGATCGAACAAATTTGTAGATCTCAATTGTATGCTTTTTTGAATGTTTTCTTTGCTTGCTTCTTTCAAACACGTTTTAGAGTTTTTTTCAGCCTATTTCTTGTAATTCGTTTTTTTCTTTTTTTTTATGAATTGCACAGCTGAAACAATAGAGAGAAAAAAAAATCGAGGAAACACGAGGGACACCATTGATGACACAACCACTTTCTGTCACTATCCTTTATTTTCTGTACGTGTTAAGTTCAAGAAATCAAAGTTTCAAGTTTCTTAGAGATGAGCAAAAATCTCTACGACATTATAATATGTTACCAACACTGTCGCGACCGTTCTTCTACTTTTGGAAACCACTCACAATTACTCTACACTCTTTGTTCTTTAGATAGAAGATCATCATTATTTTAAGTCGCCGTTTTAAATTTTTTAAAAAAGGTATATGTAAT